GATACTGGAGTTAAGTGATGTAATGCCGCTGCAGACACCAGACATTGTTGCACTCATGGAGACGAAACTTGAAGATTATATTTTAAATGGGCATATTCCCAAGGAGCTAGTCAGTTTGGAGACAGGACAGGAAATTGGAAAAGGCGGTGGCATTGCTGTGCTGGTGAAAGAACACCTAAAGGTAAAAAAATAATGATTGCCAATCCACGAGAAGTTGACATAATTGCACTAGAGATCTGCAATCAGGATGAAAAACTAATGATCATAAATGCATATAGTTGACCACCATGTAACACATGGACAAAGGAGAAGCTGGATAATAAACAAGAGGGTATTACAACAATAATTAGAGAGATTATAGCGAGAGTGGAAAAAGATTGATCACAACTGTTGGTAGTCAGCGACTTCAACTTGAAATCCATAACTGGGAGGTGTATGTAGCTAGAACAGTGGGCTTTTGCACTTGTAGATTCATAAACCTCATCCTGGAAACATTTATATATCAACATGTTAAACAGGCTGAGGATGAGGGAAGGGGATGTTCCCTCCATGCTTGATTTGATATTTACCAGGAAAGAGGAAGAGATATTTGACATTCAGTACCTTCCTCCCTTGGGTAAAAGTGACCATGTCTTTTTGGGAATAAAGTATGCAATGCATTATAATCTGGAAGAAAATAAGGAGGTTGAAGCAGTTGAAGAACCTGATTACAGGAGAGGACAGTATGGGGAACTTAAAAATTTCTTAAGGAATTTGACTGGAGAGACTTGCTGTTAGCAAATGAAATAAATGAGATGTATGTCAAGTTTTTTAAATATATGATAAATGCACAAAAAATATATACCAAAAGCATAAATACAGAACTAGAAAACAGGATTGGTTCAGCAGAAACTTCGAGAGGGCCAGAGAAAGACAACAAAAATGTTATCAATATAGGAAGAGGCCAAACCCCCAAACATACTAGCGATACAAAGATGCGAGAAACAACTGCACTGCAGTGAGGAGAGAGGCAGTTAGCGGACAAATGTAAAACAGAACCGGCCTATTCTATAAATTCATAAACAACAAATCGCAGGTAAAGGATAATATTCAGAGGCTGAAAATGTAAAACAGATTCACAAAAAATGAAAAGGAAATGTATTAAACAAACAAAAAGTTCCAAAGTGTGTTTGTACAAAATGAAATCTTTAGGGAACCAGACACAATAAGAATTCCAGAGAACAACATAGAGCACATAGAGGTGTCCAGAGACAAAGTGGAAAAGTGCTCAAGGAGCTAAGTAAGAACAAAGCAGTTGGCCCAGATGGAGTTTCACTATGGGTTCAGAAAGAATGTGCACCCGAGCTCAACATTCCATTTCAACTGATTTTCAGGCATCCCTGTTTACAGGTGTTGTAGCTAATGTGTGGAAAAAGGCTAACATAGTTCCACTCTACTAAAGTGGCAGCAAGGAAGACCCCCTCAATTATAGACTTGTATCACTGACAAGTGTAACAAGTCAAAATATTGGAAAAAATAATTAAAACTAAATGGGTAGAACACATGGAGCAAAACCATATAATATCAGTCAGTATGGTTTTTAATCTGGAAGATCCTGTGTAACGAATTTACTCAGTTTCTACGATTGAGCTACAGAGATTTTACAGGAAAGACATTGGGTTGACTGCATCTACCTGGATCAAAAAAAAGATTTTCGACAGAGTTCCACATAAGAGGTTGTTCTGGAAACTGGAACATATTGGAGAGGTGACAAGTAAGCATCTAACAAGGATGAAAAGTTTTCTAACTGATAGAAAAATAAGGGCAGTAATCAGAGACAATGAATCGGACTGGAGCAATGTCATAAGTGGAGTACCACAGGGTTCAGTTCTTGCACTGTTATGCAAGAACTGAAGGGGGATGTAATGTTCAATGCCTATGACAATGTTCTGGTAATGTTCAATGTCTACATAAATGATCTACCAGATGGAACACAGAATTATATGAACATGTTTGCTGATGATGCTACTAAGTTAATTGGGAAGATAAGAAACTTAGATGACTGTCATGTCCTTCAAGAAGACCTGGAAAAAATAAGTATATGGCGCACCACTTGGCAAATGGAATTTAATGTGAATAAATGCTATGTTATGGAATGTGGAAAAGGAGAACATAGACCCCACATCACCTATAAATTATGTGAGAAATCTTTAAGGAATTCTGATAAAGATATCTAAGGGTGGTTCTAGACAGAAAACTATCACCTGACAACCATATTAAGAACATTGTGCGAGGGGGCTATGCTATACTTTCTAACCTCAGAATTGCTTTTAAATACAAGGATAGTGAAATACTAAAGAAATTGTTCATGACTTTTGTTAGACCAAAGCTGGAATATGCAGTGGTTGTATGGTGCCCATATCTTAAGAAGCACAACAACAAACTGGAAAAGGTGCAAAAACATGCCACTACTGTATGTGGCACTCTGAACTGAAGGACAAGAGCTACAAGGAGAGGTTAGATGCATGAAATATCCCAAAACTTGATGATAGAAGAAAAAAAGGCAATATGATCACTACATTCAAAATAGTAACAGGAATCGTTAAAATTCATAGGGAAGAATTCCCGAGACCTGGAATTTCAAGAACAAGAGGTCATAGATTTAAACTAACTAAACAAAGCTGCCGAAGAAATACTGTATAAGAAAATTCACTTTTGCAAACAGTGGTAGACGGTTGGAACAAGTTAGGTGAGAAGGTGGTGGAGGCCAAAACCGTCAGTACTGAGTAATTTCAAAGTGTTAAATGACAGAGTGCTGGAAAGACGGGACACCACAAGCGTAGCTCTCATCCTGTAATTACAGCCCAGCCCAGGTAAAAGGAGAGGAAGTGAGGCTGGTTGGGTTTCTAGTTGGAATGTGAGCAAGTCACTGCACACCTACCCATGAAATATTAAATTCCTTACCACCCATCCACTACCGCTCCCAACCACCCACCAACACTTCCACCTACCCACTAATACACCAAGCACAAATGACCACCCACTTACTAATAAACTACTAGAAAGAGTAAGTTCATAAATGTCATTGGTTGCATATAATCAAATTTACTGATGAATAAAAACTTTAATGTACTGCAAGAAACTCAATGATTAACTTTTGATTAACTCTATGAATGAGCAGATAAATGGCTGCTGTAATTCAATCCAAATAAGTGTAAGGTAATGAAAATTGGAGAGAGAGAGATAAGAGACCAGTAAGTAGCTATACACCATAACGGGAAGGTAACAACAAGAAACAAAAGAAAAATATCTGGCATTATAAATAATCCAAACACTATCAGCAGAAGCTCATGCGAATAGAATAGTCAGTGGCGAATGAGAAGTTGGCAAACACCACCACCATCACAAAGAATCTAAATAAGGAAGCTCTCAAATAAAAATATGTTGTCTATGTTAGACTATTACAGGAGTATGCAGCACTAGCATGGAACCATCACCTCATGAAATACAATAGGAAACTTGAAGTACAGAGGTTTGTAAGTAGATTAGTAGCAGAATTGAGAAGGCCTCCCCTATGAGGACAGGTTATGGAAACTTCACTTCACAACTTTAGAGAGAGAAGAAACAGAGGCAATGTGATCATTACAAGGTACTGAGGGGAATAGACAATATGAACAAGGCCAACCTATTTAAATTTAAAGCACAGGACATAAAACAAGGGGACATCAGTGTAATCAGGATAAACAACCAAATCGTAATAGTGTAAAGAAAAGTTTGAATCCTGTACAAGTGGTTGGCAAGTGAAATGAATTAAAGGAAGTTTTTGAAGCCACTTTTATCCACAATATAAGGATTACTTGAATGAGAGATGTAATTAGCATACCAGATATAAATAGCTAGAAGGTGGGGCATAAAGAGCAAGATCTCATTCCTATTTAGTGATGGATAGGCAAGTGCCCATTCACCAATAAATTCACTACCACCCACAGCTACTATATCATCAACATTGCAGCTCTCCTTACAACTCGCACAAAACTCACCCTACCACACATACACACAGCTCTCTATATCCCTATAAACACATCATTCCCACACACACACACCTACTCACACACCTTCACACAATTTCAGCCTGGGTAGAGTATGAATTTAACATACAACTCTGCCACGAATGGGAACAAACACAATTTTCCCATATGTTATTCAGTTTACATACTGTATTTTAAGATTTGAAGATTTGAAAATTAAATTAGGGCTGCCAATATATATATATATATATATATAATATCTATATATATATAAATATTTATACACAACCAAATACATGTACACTACTCTAAATGTGAGTTTATGAGATGTGAATATTTAGATAATTGAATGTCCTGTATGTATAATTCACTTGAACATTAACAATCTTGTTTGGCATTGCATAAACAAGAATTTACAGCTCTTGACTGGCACTGCAATCTTTCAAAGTTCTCAAAACCAGTAAGTGTAGATTTAAAGTAAGTAAAGCCGATCTCAATTTCTATTTAGTATAACATAGCGGCAGAAGAACTCATCAGACCCATCATAACAGTTATAGTAGCCATCACATCGTTGGGATGCGGGGATCAGGCAGCCGTTCCAGCATCGCCACAGTCTCATAACTTCACACAAACATGAAATCAAAGTCAGTGTCTTCCCAGTCACATTACACTAAAATATATAGCTAGGCAAAACAAATCGAGTACTACCTGTGGTATCAAAAAATTAACCTTTTAAATTAATTACAAATGTAGTCAACTGATGAGATATCATGTACTGTACTGTATATATTTAGCAGGCACATGATGTTGGAGTAATGTTAGGCCAAGGTTGGTAATGCTGATCCAGTGTTGTACGAAAGTAATCAACACTGGACCAACACTGCATACTGGCTGGATATACAGTGAAACAGCTATTTAATACATAATTTATATATGAAAACAAAATTATGAATAAAGTCTAATACTTTTTGTTGCACCTCAAGGAGCACGCACCTGGACAGTTTTCTTCATCAGAGTGGTCAGGGCACTGGGGTACTCCATTGCACCGCTGAGAATCTGGTATACAATACTTGTCTTTGCACTGCCATTCCCCAGACCGGCATTCTACCAAAAGCAGACAGGTACATCAAGCCGTCATGCACAGCATGCATATAAATAAGCTGAAAATGGCTCTATTAATAAACTACAATGGTAATGATGAGCATTGGCAGTGAGTTGAAACAATGTTTTGAATTTAGGATTATATTACATAGCCATTCAAGTTAGTGCATGCAAAACAAAACAAACAGAATCAGCATGCAAATTCAATTAATGAGGGTCATACCTTTCATCTATAGGAAACAATTCCTAATGGAACAAGATCGAAAAGCTGTTTTTTATTTTCACAATTAACAGAATCTTATGGGCAAGCAGAAGGAAAGTAAACAATTAAGTGTGATTTCGTCAGTGCCGTAAACCGGGTAACAGTGCCACAACTCATGCTTTCATTTTTACATTCACATGAATAGCATATTTAAGTTCTTATCTACCATCTGGATATGTTTTGATTGCAGTCAATGACAAACAACTGCAGTCAATGCAGTCAAAGGAGAACAAGTGTAGGTGATTGTGATAGGCGAGTATGGGTGTGTAGTTGCTGGTGTATATGTTGTTAGCATGGAGGAAGAAATACATGGTTGAGTATATAGTCAGTAGTGGCTTGGTATGGGTGGAGTTTTAGTGGAAGTGTGGGTGGATCTGTGGATATAGGCATATGGTGAGTGTTTGGATATATAGTAGGTGGCATAGTGTGGGTATATGGTTGGTAGGGGTGAAGTGGTGGATGTGATTTAAGTAGGGATATAGGTTTACGTGTATATGTGGGATGACTAGATTTTTTTAGTATTGTGGTGGTTGTGTATGGGTGGGGTGAAGGTTGTAGGTAGAATAGAAATTGAGAGTGTGGATAGGGGTGTGAATTCGGGTGTGGTCTTAGGTGTCTGAGGGTATGGGTAGTGAAAAATGATAAGAGGAAGGCAATGAAGATGGAAGATCACTTACAGAGGAAATGTGGGAGGACACTGGGGACAGGCAGTAAGAGTGGAGGATAGGTGGATGACTTTGTGGGGCAAAGGGAGAATTATTACCAGAGGCTTTAAGGTTCAAGGTGAGGCTAGTTGTGAAGTGTAGTGGTTAGGAACAGTGCGCTGGATGGGGATGGTGGGGGGGGGGGTCCTTGGCTAGATGTAGATAGAGGAGTTGTTGGCAGAATGTGGATAGTGGGGGTTGTTGGCTGGATGGGAATTTTTATGTGGCAGTGGATATTAGTGGTCTGCTTTAACCCTCTTCCCTTTTCCAACTCTCTGGTGATGAACTCGTGGGATCCTCTTGTCAAGTTAAAATATTACAAAAATAAGCAGCAATATACCGGAAGACCTTAAAATGCAGACCGATTGGTACCTCCAGATATCCAGATAAAATCAAAATACAACAACACATAATTTTTGATGATTTGTGGTTTTTGGTATTTACTTCAACAGACACATGTAATAAGAATATCTGCAATGGGTTTTAAACAGGAATACTTCACTGAATATGTAGACAACCAATCAAATTGGTAGAGCAGTGGTTATAGTCAATTTTAATAGGACTGACATTTCAGTGTGTTTTCTTTCAGCCAATGCCTCTGTCCAGTGATTACCTAGCTGTAATGAGGCACCCAGGAGTTAGGCAACTATTATGGGTTCATATTAGGAAAGGTCAGTAGTTGACCTGGGGGGGACCTCGATAAACCTAACAGGCTTCCTGTTCTCAACAACAGAAAATCCTATATATATATACAGTTCAAGTTATCATAGATAAAGGGGATTATTCCCCATTAACCGGACAAGCACCAGTTAATATGGGTAGAAAACAAAATTTATTTATCTGGATAATACTTGAATCCAGAAAACGAGGCTGAGGATAATAGGGATTCTACTGTAAATATGTCAGGACCAAACTTTTTTATATATGAAAACAATAGCTTATATTAGACTACACTGCCTAATAGTAAGAGTATGCTTAGTTTCATTACAATACATAAGTGATGTTGGTTTCAAATTAATACGTGGAGACATTCTCTAGATATATAGAAACCATAAACAAATTCCTGTACAGACTATAAAAGGAAGTTGGCCCCTTGGCTGTACTGCCCAATAATGAGAGGAACCTTCGTTTTATGATAAAAATACAAAGGTAGGATTTATAGAATGTCATTGCTCAATTTCAATAGTAGACCTATTTTTTTGGCTTAAATTTAGGTTAATACCATAAGGCATTAAAGATATTCACCAAAAATATGCTGAAAGAGGGGAACCAGAAAAAAATATATACATGAAAATACAATAAGGTATCTATCATTACCACCAATAATTAACACAGATTGCATTAGCAACAAAACAACTGCAGAATGAACTTTCTAACCACCCAAACCTTACCATACTTGCAAATTTGTACAATGATGGTGTTTATACAAGTCCTGAGGCTGATGAAAATAGATAGACTTGTGAGTTACTCATACATATTATTGTTTTTTTTATAATGAAATATATTTCTTATGAAAGAATGACAAGTGAAAGAAAACAAACAAAAATTGTTCTATTGAACGCATACTATAGGTAATCACCGTTAGTAAATTACTAAAGGTAAGAGGAAATATTAAATAGAAGGTTAAAGAAATGTTAGGGTACCATTCTTCCTCACCTGGACGACAATCATTTTCATCGGAATAGTCGAGACAATCATATTGCTTATCACATCTTGACTGTAGTGGTATACAAGACCGATCTGCACATGTCCACTCGTCAGGTCTGCATTCTATTGTCATGAAATAAGGTTATGTTGAAAAACTACATAAGTATTTTTATGTACAAGAACAATATAACCATGATTCAATAGTATAGTATAATTAATATATATATCATTATATACTTTAAACAAAGATTTATTAGGAAAAATAAACTGTAGTATTGGAAAGCATTCATCAGAACTAACGTCCAACATTAGCATGCCTGTGCAGCAACTTACCGTAAAATGTTTTTTTCCCTCTGAATATGACAGTACATGTCTTACTGTACTGGCTTATAAGTTACATAAATCCATAACAACAAATTTTGGAGCAAGATACAAAAATAATAATTTGCATTGCTCTAATGTGTGCAATTAAAGCTGTATTACAGTATCCAATTATAAATATCACTTCATAATAAAAGCTAAATCATTGAAAAAACATACCTGGCTCACAGTCGTACTCATCAGTGTAGTCAGGACAATCATAACGTCCATCACAATGCCTTTCTTGGGGAATACAAGACCCATCGCTACAAGTCCACTGCGTACGATCACAGGCTATGCAAAAACATTATCATTCATGCATGAAGTCTGCACTACAGATGCAAACAATTATTAAATTAGTAGTAGTTAATTTGGCTAAAAAGTTAACCTTAAGTCTCATTCCCTATTTTGGGAAAGGAAATATGTCCAAGAAATTTCCTAACATACTTTTAATGAGTCTCCCAAATTAGGAATTTATCCTAATACCTATTACTGTACCTGTTATTCTTGTAAACAGTTGTATATTATAAGAGTATACTCCAAAATAGGGAATGGTTAATTATCCACTGCAAAAAAATAACCAGCATCCAGTAACAATGCATTCTATTAGTTCTGCTTACATTCATAATAAAAACAAGATGCAGCAAGGCCGATTCTCAATGGGTATCTGTCCCTTGCAGTATTATTGTTTACACACATTAGACTATGTAAATTAACATCAACACCTTGCTTATAGTAACTACAGTAACAAATTTAACTATCTCTTTACTAAAAATACCCAAATCTACCATGCCATGCCTTGTAGAAATTACAGATACATGTAGGTAATATGAAACAAAAATGTAGCTTTGAATGTAATGAAACGCCTCTTTCTGGGCAGTTGCTCAGTAGCTCCCTATAGCTTAAGCTTTAGGTACCACAGGGTACTATAGCTTAAGCTTTAGTACCAACCTATAACAGACCCAAGATTTATATCAACCTACCAAGTGTCTAGATCAGAATTTGACCCTCTCTCAAGAGATGAGAAGAGAATGGGGATCAAATATCTACCTAAAACAGAGGAAATAACCCCCCCCCCCAAAAAAAAAAATTGACAAGCAAAACCAAAACTACAGCTCTAGAAAGAAATGAAATTAAGAGACATGGCAAGCTATAGGTGGCAGCAAGTGAAGGACAGATGTGAGTTGAATATTTTGACAACTATTTACACTGGCATATTGGTGGACAGTGGAAAAATGAACTTTGCAACACTGTGGAAAATGTATCAACCTGATTGTGTAATAGACTACAAGGTAAATATACGCTTAGTAGATAAATATGACATGATGGTTGTGCCATCAAATGTGTGCAAAAATCTGAAAAGTGGAGGGGGGGGGAGGGGAAATCACCTAGTGGATGTTACAGTGCTGAACTGTTTGAACGTGTATCTGGAGAAATCAAGCAAGAAGCCAGCAACCTGTACATTCAATCTTGCTTTGATGTTGCAATAGTTGGTGAAATTTGAGTTGGAAGGTACTGTTGTGATGCATGTTTATTATGTATCACATCATGGACCCCAAGAAAGTCAGTGGTAAGGTTCAACCTAAGAAAACACATGTGAGGATGACCACAGAGGAAAACTAGAGATCATTTGTAAACATGAAAATGGTATAAGGGTTGTTGATGTATAGTAGAGGATGTTCCTTCCTCATTTATTAAGAAAATGTGTGCAGTATGGGAAGAATTGTAAAGTTTTCCTGAAAAGTGTCACCCCAAATCAAGCTGTAGATTGTAAACCGTTGACGTTAACCTTTAACTGTAGATTGTTAAATCAAGCCGTTGTGTTAACCTTTTTAATGACACTGTGATGTCTCACTTCAGAGTGTTAGTTTGTCGAAAAGCGAGCTTTATGTCAAGAGGACCATAGGTATTATCCCTACTATCCTCCTCCTGTTAAGAAAAGTGTCCTCGTCTTTCTCTCTCCCTCTCTTTCTCTTCCTCCGCGCTCTACTCATCAGCAACCCTCAGTTTCTGGAATCTGAAATTTCCTTTATCTACAAATCTCTCTCTTGCCTTGGTTACCCTGTACATTTTATCAACTGTGCCTATTCTCAAGCTAAACAAAATTTCTTTCATCCTAGACCTGCTTCCAACACTAATAGCACTGTGCTCTGCCTTCCCTTCATAACTGAACTCAAAACTCTTATCAATACCTTTCGTCCTCTTGACATAAAGCTCGCCTTTCGACAAACTAACACTCTTCATAGCAATCTAGTTCACACTGCTCCTCCTGCTTCTAATGCTGCTGGTGTCTACTCTATTTCCTGTTTATCTTGTCCTGTCCAATACTTTGGTGAAACTGGCCGTACACTAAATGACAAACTTAAGGAACACAGAAGAAGTGTTAAATCTGCAGACACAAACAATGCTCTCTTCTGTCAAGTTAGGGATTCTAATCATCCTACTGATTAGTCTTCCTCAAAAATAATCTTTCCTGCCTCTACTCTTCACAGACACCGTCTTTTTGAATCGGCTCTTATACACAACATACCCAACATGAACCCAACTCCTGGCTTTGTTGCTGTTGACTCTTCCCTTTCACAGTATATACTCAAATGTGCTAAAAATTCTAATAAACATGACCTAACAAAAGCCTGCCCTTCCTTTTATCTTTCTTTTTCTTTCTCTTGTTTTCTCTTATGATCCCTTTCTTATTCCTATTATTACACCCTTTATTACACCTTACCTTCTGTACCTTTTGCCTTGCTCTTATCTTCCTCTAAGATTTCCATCTCCTCACCTCTCTCTCGCCTGCTTAATGCCCTTGCCTCCCTTGTCTCATCACAATTTACTTGATAATGGTACAGGACGGACCAAAACGTTCTCATCTCTTCAATTTCTAGTGTGTGGTTTGGTCAACAATGTTTTAGAATGTTCACAGACCTTGAAGACATCTTCCTGGGACAACCAGACCAATGTTTCTGTGATGGCCTATCGCCAGCATTTTCTCCGCGGAACCATGCATTATACTGTACTTCCTCATGTCGACTTGGCGACACCCAACAATTAACTTATTTCCTTACTTTGGTGGCCTGTTTTCTTTAAAACAATGATTTGAGCAATGGTTTCTTTGTTTATTTCTTTTGTGGGCACCATTAGGAAAATGTGATACCACAAATACCACTGTCAACTACTGTAAAACACAAGGTTCAAGAGCGAGACGCACAACACAGGCACTCACTATGAATGCCCGGGGGGCAACTAAGCATTCCAGGTGTGTGGCTCCAGGGAGGTAGTGCACACCATGACATCACGTACATGTTGCAAAATTCTGTTTACAATCTTTCACCCATAAGACCATTTTTTTTTTTTTATAATTACAAGCCTCGAGCGAGGGGGGGGGGAGGAGGGTACACTTTTGACGAGTTTGACAAGAACGTATAATAATAATAATGCCAAGGCTCATGGAAGCTAGTGAGGGAACCAAACCACAAAGCCCTAGTGTAGCTCAGGACACAAAGTTTTGTCAGATTTACCATTCTTTCATTACAAACACAAACAAGAAATCACTGCTCCTTAAATTACCAACTCCGAAAGCCCATTTGAGTTGCTCTTCAAAAATTTGTGAACCCAACAAAATCTTGATTTAAGATGTCCTTAGTAACACAATGCATTTTTGTTTCATGCCATACCATACTTAAATTACCTGAATATCATTATTCAGAAAAGTCAAAGATTACAGAATGCTAAACTTCAAAATGCATCTAGAAGTCTACAATCTATGTCTAATCCACTATTCCCCAACTATGTATTACTTTCAATTAACACCACACATATCACCCGACCTTCATGTTAAATATAATACTATACAATTCATAATACATTTACTGATTTTTTTGTTTTGTTGTTTTCAGGGATATTCCTGTGCAGGCTCTAAGCCTATGGCTGGCCAACTAAGTGTTACCCGTTTCTTGTTTCTGTTTTACATAGGCGGAGTGCGAGTATTTATGACTCGTATGTCTGCTTCAATAAGTTTATGCCCCATATATTTACCGATAACATACTAGAACGTGAAATTTTTTTAACGATACAAAGACGTATTACTTTTTAAAATATATTACCCATTTAAAATATTTATCTTTCAATCTTTCCTGTACTTATAACAGATTGAATAGTCTGATAATGGGTTATGTATATCAGTAAGCCAAAATGTCTAAGGGTCTCAAAACAGATTTGAGTAAATTGATAAAAGTGAAGATAGATAATCAGATGACATATGTAATAAAGACTTATACTATTATTATAGACATTTTCAATAAGCCTTTAGCTATGACTATTTTGTACACATCTACCACTATGTGCACAATAAAATAATAGGTATTTAAAATATTTTCTCAATTAGAAAGGATAGAAAGCTACTGTATAGGATGAGAATGTGAAAAATATCCAAAACATTTTCCTGTCACCCTTAGACTGGTGCATTAAACAAAGCTGTCCTCAAAAATTAATTTTGATGCCAACGCTTGCATGAGGTTTATTGAGCTTTCATGCACTCTCCAACACAGTTACACTCCTTATTACACAAGAATTATTATGAATTGTAAGTCAAAATTAATTTTCTTGTATTATATATATTGCTATTATATGAATAGTAATTACAAACCGTTGAATGTAAAGAAATGCTTCTTTCTGTTTCACTACAGTAAAGCACTAAATTACTAAACAATGATGAAGATTAAACCACACACCAGAAGATGAGGAGACAACCTTTTGGTCCGTCCTGGATCATTATCAAGTCGACTGTCACACTCGACTTGATAATGGTCCTGGACGGACCGAAATGTCGTCGTCTCCTCACTTGTGGTGTGTGATTTAGTCTTCATATCTTCAGCCACGTTATTGTGACTCATCGTCTGCATACTAAGCAATGATCTTTCTTGAAATAATAAGAAAATTATAACTCAAAATTATAATTAAAAGTTTGAGTAACATGCCATAGACTCAGAGGAAAAGCAATGGTTGAAATTAAGTGAGGTCTTCCTGTGGCCCTCACACTGCATACTAATGACAGGAAAATAACCAGCTGTATTAAATTTAAATAAATATGGGAAAATTTGTTTTTGTTTTATATAATAACAATTTAAATAGTTTTTGGGGGGCTTTCAGACATTTTAACATTAAGTTTTCTTTACACAGGAGTATACCTGGAGATTCTGGTATAAATTCTGGGAGATCTTTTACTCCCCAACCCTGGCCCATGGCCAGACTTGTGACAATTTGGTCCAATGGGCTGTTGCTTGGAGCGGTCCGCAGACCCGCATATCCATCATAGCTCAGCTGGTACACTAGTGTACTATTTTGGACAGCTTCACACACTTATTTCAAACTCTTTTACTATAATTCTGCCACAGCACAAAACTAGTATTATTTTTGTATAGTATTATTATTATTATTATTATGGTTACTGTTATTTTTTGTTATTATTATTAATATTATTAGCAAAGAGGGATAAAAGACCATAGCCCCGTCACTAATCCACAGTCAATAATATAAAACATCACACTAATCTATACCTTGACTTTTAGATATGCAAATAATAATTTACATGCAGCATGATTATTTTTTCAGTATAATAAACTTTTTCTGGTTACTTCATCAGCCCAGAAGGATTCAGTGCAGCAATCACAGCAGAAAAAACAAAATCAGTACCATAACAGCCATATAAACCAATTGATTTTCTTTAAATGTAGCCTTACTTCCTACACAGTCCTCCTCATCAGTTCGGTCCGGACAGTCAAAAACCCCATCACAACGGACTTGCTGCTGTACGCATGACCCATCCCTGCACGTCCATTCGTTGGACCTACAAGCTATTCAAAAAATGGCATGTATTATTATTTATAATATACATATACATACACATACACATACATACAGTACATACATACATATATTGAGCTTGAATGGTCCTCAAGCCAATATGCAACTGAAAACTCCACACCCAAGAAGGATTTAAACCTAGAAAGCCAGAAGCACTATGCACCTTGGCGTACCTGGTACTTTAACCACTCGACCACCATGACTGTACAAAAGTCATTGGTAGCAGAGGCTATATCCCCAACGACCCGACAGCACTTGGTGGTAAGCTTGGGCATAGATATTTAATTGAATCACCTCACTTTGTGGGGGCTACATGAGCAGCACAAATGCAAACAAGCTTGAATGTTTTTATTCAAGCTTGTTCACATTTGATACCCGATACCTGGTTGATGGGGTTCTGGGAGTTCTTCTACTCCCCAAGCCCGGCCCAAGGCCAGGCTTGACTTGTGAGAGTTTAGTCCACTAGGCTGTTGCTTGGAGCAGCCCGCAGGCCCACATATCCACTACAACCCGGTTGGTATGGCACTACTTGGAAGAAACAATCTCGTTTCCTCTTGAAGCTGTCAACAGTTGTTCCGGCAATATTTCTTATGCTCGCTGGGAGGGTGTTGAACAACAGGGGACCTCTGATATCTTCAGAGTGATACAGTGTTTTCTGATTGTGCCTATGGCACCTCTGCTCTTCACTGGTTCTATTCTGCATTTTCTTCCATATCGTTCACTCCAGTACATTGTTATTTTACTGTGCAGATTTGGTACTTGCCCTCCAGTATCTTCCATGTGTATATTATTTGATATCCCTCTCATCTTCTTTCTAGTGAGTACATTAGGAGGGCTTTGAGACGATCCCAATAATTTAGATGCTTTATTGTGTCTATGCGTGCCGTATATGTTCTCTGTATTCCCTCTATTTTAGCAATCTCTTCTGCTCTGAAGGGGGAATTGAGTACTTCGGCCAGAGCTACATATATTTTTTTTATTTATTTTTTTATTTTATTATATATATATATATATATATATATATATATATATATATATATATATATATATGCACAACTGAAAACTCACACCCCAGAAGTGACTCGAACCCATACTCCATAGTCCTGGGGACCATTCAGGCTTGTTTGCATTTGTGTTCCTCACGTGTGCCCCAAAGAATGAGGTGATTTGATAAAATGCTATGCCCAAGATTACCATCCGAGTGCCGGCGGGGAAGTGGTTCATATAGCCTCGGCTATCACTTCCTTATGTCCGGTCGTGATGGTCAAGCGGATTAAGGCGTCCCTGTACATACCAGTTGTGGGAGTATGGGTTCGAGTCACTTCTGGGGTGTGAGTTTTCAGTTGTATATAGTCCTGGGGACCATTCAGGCTTGTTTGCATTTGTGTTCCTCACGTGTGCCCCAAAGAATGAGGTGATTTGATAAAATGCTATGCCCAAGATTACCATCCGAGTGCCGGCGGGGAAGTGGTTCATATAGCCTCGGCTATCACTTCCTTATGTCCGGTCGTGATGGTCAAGCGGATTAAGGCGTCCCTGTACATACCAGTTGTATATTGTTTGCATATAAATAATATATATATATATATATATATATATATATATATATATTATATACATATTGGTGTATACTGGCAGCAGGTTTTCTTTTATGCATGACTCATTGAATATGACAGCATATTCCGTATTAATTATTTTCTGATTTAGGGCTTCTATCCCTCTTACTAGTGCTCTTGCATCAGGGTTCAGCTGGAAGAGGAGTTCACCAAAGTCATGTTCGTTTTCAAGGTGAAAAAAAGAATTGAATAACTGAAGAATGTATTACACTTATTGTAAAATCGCACGACGTTTCGAATCTACATGGTTCATTCTCAAGTGATGTTACAGTACCGAACATTATAATTTATACTAAAAGTGGGTCAGGTGAATACAAAGGGATCGAACAATGGGGTCAGGTGTAAACAAAAGGTATAACATTGGGTAGACATGAAGGAGAAAAGAAGCTAAGGATCAGACGGTTAAATAGGGTACATATAAAGATTAATCAAGCGTAGTGGGAGCTGTTTGTCGAGGAGTGTCTTCTATGTTGGCATCTTGACGTTTTGGTCTTTTTCTTACTCTCATGGTGGGTGGAGTGAATACCCGCCAAACACACACCGATAATACGACGTTTGTACAACGTTCGAACAAGTTTTAATACCTCCTAACCAGTTATAACAACCAATATAGCAAGTTGTAACAACGTTCTAATACGTCATAAACACGTTAAGCCAAGATGTAACAACTTTATTACAAGTTGTAACAACCAGAAAATAGAGACAGTTTCGGTTTGTGTTTCCAGGGTAGTTCCGTAATTTGAGTATTTATGGAAGGTTGTTCTACTTTTATGTGGATTGCTATAAGAATTTGTAATCTTCTTACATCTTGGATTTTGTCCATTATACAAGTGTTTTTATTCAACATTTCTCTTGTTAAGGGTGATGTCATGGGCTTATCTCATGTGATTTCTGGGGGCACCAGATTGAAGATGACAGGTCAAATGCTTCATCAGCTTGGTCGACGTCATACCTATGTACTTGGATTGAAGGTTACATCCTTCATGGTGGCAGGTGTACGTGTATACAGCGTTTGACTGCTGTAAAGGGTTCTCCATCGGCTTCAAGCTGTTTTTGATAAGGAGGTCGGTAGTCTTCTTTGTTTTGTAGAATATGATCAGGTCTATATTTTGGTTAGGAGTAATGCTTTTTACTCCTTTATGGATTATTTCTTTCATTACTCTTTCTTCTTTTTTATGTTCAGTGTGCATGGTTGATTTGTAATATAATTTAATTGGAGGTATTGTGGTTTCTGTTCAAGGTTCAGGATTGTACCATTGGTCCAAGTGTCTTCTTATAAAAGCATTTATTTCCATGTTGCTATATCCATTGTTCACCAATACCCGAGTTATTCTTTCAAACTCTCTACTCACGTTGCTCCATTCGGAGCAATGGGTAAGCGCTCAACGAATATAAGCATTGAGAACACTGGCTTTGTATCTTTGGGGGCACTCACTTTTACCGTTCAGGCATAATCCTATGTTGGTAGGTTTTAGTATATACGTTTGTGCTTAAAGAGGTTCCTGTTTTTGTTATCAGTACATCCAAGAATGGCAAACTGTTATTTTCACTACTTTCATGTGTAAATCGGAGTACTGACACTCTCTCTAGATGGCTTTTTAGATCAATTAGTTCTTCTGAGTCTTTTACTATGACAAATATGTCATCTACATAATGACAGTATACAGTTGGTTTTGGTCTACTACTGAAGACAATCTTCGATAGTTCCCATGTAATAATTAGCAAATGACACTCCTAAGGGAAAGCCCATTGCTACTCTGTCTATTCGTAGATACATGTCCCCTTGTGGACTGATGAAAGGGGCTTCCTTTGTACATGCCTCGAGAAGATTCTTCAAGTGTGGCTCAGGTATGTCTAATTTGGGGTGCTCTCATCTCTGTATATTCTGTCCAGTATCATTTCTACGGTTGTGTCGACTGGGATGTTGGTAAATTGGGATTCAACGTCCAGGGAAGCAATGATTCCATCAGGCTGTGTAATTTTTATTAATTCTAGGAAATCTGCTGATGATTGTAGACTATATTTGCTTCAAGTGTAAGGAGTTAGGAGTTCATTAAGTCTTTTTGCTAGGTGATAGGTTGGAGCTGGCATTTGGCTGATTATTGGGCATAGTGGGTTACCTGGTTTGTGTGTCTTAACATTCCATAGGCATATTCTAAGCCATAGTCGCCTTCGAGTTTAGTGAAACGAACACTGCCTTTCTTTGCGTTGATTGCAGTAATAGTTTTATTCACTTTGTGTTTAAGGTCTTCCACAGGGTTCCATGTGATTCGTTGAAATTTGGTGTCATCACTAAGGATGTCGCTAATTGCCTAAGGCAATGTTAAGACACAAACCAGGTAACCCACTACGCCCAATAATCAGCCAAATACCAACTCCAATTTTCTGACTGATAGAAAGATGAAGGTAGTAATCATAGGCAATGTATCGGACTGGAGAAATGTCAGAAGTGGAGTACCAGAAGGTTCAGTTCTTGCACCAGTGATGTTCATTGTCTACATAAATGATCTACTAGATGGAATACATTATTATATGAATATGTTTGCCGATGATGCGAAGATAATATGAAGGATAGGAAACTTAGATGATTGTAATGCCCTTCAAGAAGACATGGACAAAATAAGCATATGAAGCACCACTTGGCAAATGGAATTTAATGTGAATAAATGCCATGTTACGGAATGTGGAATAGGAGAACATAGACCCCACACAACCTATAAATTATGTGAGAAATCTTTAGAGAATTCTGATAAAGAAAGAGATCTTGGGGTGATTCTAGGTAAAAAACTATCACCTGAGGACCACATAAAGAACGTTGTGCGAGGAGCCTATGCTACGCTTTCTAACTTCAGAATTGCTTTTAAATACATGGATGGTGAAATACTAAAGAAATTGTTCACAACTTTTGTTAGGCCAAAGCTAGAATATGCAGTAGTTGTGTGGTGCCCATATCTTAAGCACATCAACAAACTGGAAAAAGTGCAAAGACATGCTACTAAGTAGCTTCCAGAACTGAAGGGCAGGAGCTATGAGGAGAGGTTAGAGGCATTTTTTTTTTGTTATTATTATTATTATTATTTTCTACCTAAATATGCCAAAACTATTAGACAAGAAAAAGGGGTGATATGATCACTATATACAAAATAGTAACAGGAATTGATAAAATTGATAGGGAAGATTTCCTGAGACCTGAAACTTCAAGAACAAGAGATCATAGATTTAAACTAACTAAACAAAGATGCCAAAGAAATAAGAAAATTCACTTTCACAAACAGAGTGGTAGATGGTTGGAACAAGTTAAGTGAGAAGGTGGTGGAGGCCAAAACCATCAGCAGTTTCAAACTTTATATGACAAAGAGTGCTGGGTAGATGGGACACCATGAGCGTAGCTCTCATCCTGTAACTACACTTAGGTAATTACACACCTTGGCGAGTGTGTGTGTGCATTATTTACATAATACGAGGCCAGAGCAGGTGTCCACCCAGTATAGCTTCAGCTGACAAACTGACTTTCCGGCGGCCGGCTTGGTGGGCCAGAACCCCTCTCCCCCTCCCAGGGGTAGAAAGGGGAGGGGGGTTGTGATGACATGTTGGCGCTGTGCGGTGTGATGACGTGTTGCTTGATAGCTTGTTTTTCTTTGGAAGAGTTTCTAGCCTCTGTTCAGTCTGTTTCGAAGTGCCTACCTTTCTGGGTGCTGAACCCTGGTAGATGGCAGACATGAATACTTTTATACATAAGAGTTTCATCGGCCATTGCTTCCTTCGCCTCTCTGAGAGGACCAAGTTCTGGCTAGTGGTCCCCTGGTAGGCATGACAACTCCATACGACTGAAGTACAGTACTAGTATTATTAGCTAATATCAGTCCAATAGCCTCAAGGAGCTGACGGGTCTTCCCTCAGAAATGTTGAATTTTTTCATCAAAATAAGGAAAATACAAATACTGTAGTTCATCAGCACATTATCACTCTTGATAATGTGTTAATAAACGTGAAAGTGCTCAAGTCAATTGTAGTTATTGAACATTTTTTCTTTGGTTATCTTGAGGTTATCTTGAGATGATTTCGGGGCTTTAGTGTCCCCGCGGCCCGGTCCTCAACCAGGCCTCCACCCCCAGGAAGCAGCCCGTGACAGCTGACTAACACCCAGGTGCCTATTTTACTGCTAGGTAACAGGGGCATAGCGTGAAAAAAACTCTGCCCATTGTTTCTCGCCGGCGCCCAGGATTGAACCCGGGACCACAGGATCACAAGTCCAGCGTGCAGTCCGCTCGGCCGCCTGGCTCGACCGGCTTTGTGGTTAACTCTTTCCACATTATCCATCACGGGTAAATTTCTTTATGGTTTACACACATACTGTAGTTCATGAATGTACACCATTCAAGACACATGACAAAATGAGCATTAAGAGGAAATTAAGATTTAACTTATATAGTAATATTATGAAAAATTATTGTATCATTTGAAGAGCTTACATGTTAGGCAATTTTTTTCATCAGAGTGATCGTAACATTGAGGATATCCATCACATCGAACTTCAATTGGAAGACAGGTCCCATCTAAACAAGTCCATTCCCCTTGCCTACAAGCTACATATAATGAAGAGATCATGCATTAGTAAAGCAATTAATTTAATAATAAATGCATGCAGAATCAGATGTACTGTACCATAAATGCATGCAGAATTAGATATACTGTACCATAAATGCATGCAGAATTAGATATACTGTACCATAAATGCATGCAGAATTAGACATACCATAAATGCACTACTAGACAATATACAGTAATCTATTGGACTCCCACTTGAACATAAATCAATGCACCATAAAACCTAATGTTAAAAGTATTTAATTGCAGCAGAAATCAATTGAAATCTTTCAGCGGAGCAAACCAGTGTGTTTACTTGATTAGAAGTCGGAACCAAAAGCTTCAGTCAAATATTTAAAAGCACTTTAACAAGTAACTTTGGTATAAACTGGTGAAAAAAGCGTGTTCTATTATTTGCAATATTAAAAACAGAAATAAATGAGTATTTGAAAAAGGAGCAAAATAAAGTAATTTCAAATGCTATAGTAATTAATTGCAGCCGAAGGGGTTTGGAATGACTATCTGTTTGAGCGGGTGCACAGTATGCATAGAAAATTAGCCACCTTTTCTGGTGGGCTTCGATTCACCTTTTCTGGTGGGCTTCGATTGGCTCTCTGAGCTTATCTCTTTCCAACAAGTCTTAGCCCAACACACCAGGCTTTTGAGATCCTTTTGTCTCCTATTGGGAATCAGGCCCAGAATCTGGCTCAGGCCCAGAATACTGTACCTCTTTCTGGAAGAGCTCTGGTGACTCCCTGAAGCTATCTCACCGAGATGGCTTTCCACTACTGGGTCACACCAGTCTTAGGAGTCCTGTTCGGCCTACCAGGAACCAGAGCCAGTACCTGGCTCGATACTCAAAAGTGCAAGGAGCTAGGGATCATTATTTTTTTTTTAGGGTAATTCCTGCACGGGCCCTAAAAGGAATCTTTATAATCACCCACACTGGGAAAGCATCCAGAAAGTCAGTGTAGCATATGGACAATTCCAAGGTTCATAGAAAAAGCACTGAAACAACCAAAACAACTCTACAAAATTATTCATTCCAAAGAAATTATTCACTTCAAACTCTCCCAACCATGAGAACAGTCAACAAGCTCTGAAAGATAATAGGACTGAGGATCAACAAGCCAAGAAACTATAGGCAAGGCTCAAAGGCCAGCACTACAAAAGAAATAAGCCAAATCAGCCTTTTGAGGAGCACCGGAACAAAGGGTGCATTCCAAAAGGCAAATAGCAAATCCCAGAGGGAAACAAACACGCTGCAATGCCTGCGAGACAGCTGCAAACTCCTGCACAAAGACAGACTGTCAACACAGGTGAGGAGGCCACAGATGCTGACTGGCATAGCAAGAGCTGAGGACAAAGTCCCAAACAAGGATAGACATGACCTTCTTCTAAATGAATATAGAAGGTGCCATGGAATTAAACCCGAGAAAACACTTAAGAGGAAAAAAATGACATCAAATCCACATCAGGGAAAATGACGAATGCAACATACAGCTCTTCCAGTAGCAAAAAGGCACTCGTTGGAAAAGTGAGGAAAATGCTCCCCTCCCCACCAACCATGTGCTAGAACACCACAGAGGTGAAGGCCAGGCAACTAAAAAGGCGCACCAAGTCTCAATGCGACCCCACCCCTTCACCCCAGCACCAGCTGAAGCCTCAAGATGAACCAGTAATGGCCAACCAAGGCAAAGATAAAGAGGCCGGCCTGACAGCCCTGACCAGGCAAAGCCAGTCCAGCCCTGAGAAGCCACCAATTGGGAACTCCCCCTGTTGACCAAAATGCCAGAGCAAGTCAACTAAAAAAAAAACCACATCTCAGGCTAGCAGACAATCCACAAGACATGGGGTGTAAAGTAGGCGAAAACACAGGTTGCCAAAGATGAAAACGATGGAGGACTTTATGAAGGCGTTTGAGAATCACAGAAGACCCAACTCTAAACCAGAACCAAAGTCATTGACTACAGTCAAAACACCTTGCAAAGCAGTAGAAGACACACACACCCACCAAACTACTAAAGCCCATAAAATTCCCACCTTTCAGAAGAGGAAAAAATAAGACAGTGAAAAAGAGGGGGAGTAAGCAGGTGGCCTTCCAGAGAGAAATCAAAACAGCAAACTGGCAGCCATAAAAATCTGCAAAGAAGTTTATGCCCATGCAGCTACAGCAGCAGCAGTGAAAACTAACAGGGAACAGAACCATGGCTGCAACAACAAAGTCACAATTGAGAAAACACAGCAAAATGACAGAGATCCATCCAGAAGTGTAAAGAAGATTGCCTCCACCAATGGAAGCAAGCCCTGTGGTCCACCCCTAACACTGCCAAAGGCAACTGGACATGCAGACAAAGAGCAGTGCAGGAGCAAACAAGGCAATGTTGAAGTCACAAAGGAAGGATTCCCAAGAAAGACTTAAAAACTGGAACAGGTTTCTTCAAAGTCAAAGATATCAAAAGGCTGGGATAAAATAAAAAATAAAAAGCTGGGATAAAAAAAATCAAGTCAGGATGAAGGTAGGACCTTATATCATAGCCAGGAAGTGTTAGAGGATTGTACTCAACGGAGAAAAGATACAAATAAGACACAAAGTCCATGTTTCACAGCAGGTACTTAAGCAAATTCAGCAGAATCACACTCAAATCCAGCCCACGAACAGATCAAGAAACGCACCCATGTGGGAGTGGTGTAGGAGCATGCACAGAGATGAAGAATAAAACACAGCCAACGACAGACTCTTGAGGCTTGGAATTAAACTTAAAAAAACTCATGGGCAACTATAGACCCTCTTCCAGAAGAACGAGGGAGAAGGCTGGCTAAAGCGTCAAGTGACCTGGGCTGCCATCTGGTGGTGTTCAGGCACATCACGCTTGGGGTATTTACCCTATAGACTTACTAGTTTACATTACTTACTTAGGGATGCATAATTGTGTTGTTTTACTATACCTATGAATTCTGGTGAACTTTCCTTAGTTTATGGGGTGTATCTCTAATAGCCTGTTGCCTTCATGTTGTAGAGTGAGCCAGATTCTAATCGTGTCTTCTAATATTTGATGGGTGGGTCTAAGAGATCTGGTGTATTAGGACAAGGCTTGGTAATATCGAAGCTAAGCTCAGAGCAACAACTATACAGTACTTGCAATGCGGAATAATATGAGTGCCATACTTGCAAAACTAGAAATATGCATGCAATAAGATAACTATATGGAATACAAAAATACATTACATACCCAGTACTAGATAAATATGTGGAAGGCAAAATAAATACATGCAATACTAGATATATATATATATATATATATATATATATGCAATACTAGATAGATATATATGCAATACTAGATATATATATATATATGCAATACTAGATATATAAATATGCAATACTAGATATATATATATGCAATACTAGATACTGTAAATATATGCAAAGTTGATTAAACGCTAGTAAACTAATTTGCTTTAAACCATTCATTCATCTATGCATCCTTTTCCAGATGACCCTGTACTACAATTCTAATAACCCACTTGTTTGACAGTTTTCTTCATCTGAATAGTCACGGCAGTCATAATGACGATTACACACAGCATGCTGTGGAACACACGATCCATCTCTACAAGTCCACTCACCAAAACCACAAGCTATATAGAGATATTAATTAGTACATGCACTTAATCTTTAAGTTTACAATAAAGAAAAAATTAATTTAAAAAATTTAGCACAGAATTAGTCTGATTAGTCTACATTGATTAGTCTACAAGCATTTTATCTGATGCAATACTGTTTTCTATTTCCCACTTACATAGGGTGGGAAGGCACTTGCCATGAGAGAGAAAGAAGAACAAGCAGGATAGGAAAAGAAGGTTACAATATTCTCAAAATTACTCATCTATTCACCATGTCTTTTATACTAATCAGCATCATAAGGAACCAGCATCTTCACACTCCAGAAAACCATTCACAGAACCACTCTACTACTTTACTGTTATTATTAAATTTTATAAACCACAAAAGTTGTCAAATAAAATTACATAATTTAAAATCTAATTCCAGCTAGACTTATTCCCTACCATTCTCAGTGTCTTGTTTACACTAAGTCCCAGCTTCCTCACTCACCATGTCTGCTCATTTTTGTCCCAGCTTCCTCACTCACCGTGTCTGCCCATTTTTGTCCCAGCTTTCTCACTCACCGTGTCTGCCCATTTTTTCCCACCTTCCTCACTCATCGTGTCTGCCCATTTTTGTCCCAGCTTCCTCACTCACCTTGTAGACCCATTTTTGCTAAGATCACAAAACACATAAAATCATAACATCTACCTAACCCTGGGCAACATGGGTTCAGAACAGGACGCTCCTGCCTCTCACAAGTGACTGAGCACCATGACATGGCCCTAGATGCCAAAGAAGACAAGCAAAATGCTAATGTAATATACACAAGTTTTGCAAAAGCTTCAACAAATGTGATCATGGTGTTATCACACAAAATGCTCATAAAAGGAATTACTGGCAAGGCAGGGAAATGGATCTTTAACTTCCTAACGAACAGAAGCCAGAGTGTAATAGTTAACAAAGCAACATTTTAGATCATCCACCAAGAAAATGTCAGTCCACCAAGGAACCATGCTTGCTCTGGTACTTTTTCCAATACTCATATCAGACATATACAAGGATACAGACTACAGCACTATCATCCTCTGCAGATAACACTAGGATTTTCATGGGACTAGACTCTCTAGTCTCTCTCTACAGAAAATGCAGTCAAATCACACTATTGAAAAAAAATCATTACAAAAAGATTTAGGCGTAATCATGTTGGAAGACCTTACTTTTAAAGAAAGCAACAAAGAAGCTGTCACAAAAGAAATTGACAGGTTGGATAAGAAGAACCATTAAAAAAAAAAAAAAAGATACCATACCAATGATGATACTTTTTAAAACACTAGTGCTTCCTAGAGCACCAGTGTATTTAAATATTTATACACATAACTCATCTACACCTGCAGCTTTCTCACATTTTAGCTTGTGTACTGATGCACTTTTATTCTCAGTGCATTCTTCTTGCACCAGCAAAACCAATTACCTATATACTTCCATTTCTTTCATCAATATCACCCATTAAAGAAATGGCACTAGAAATTCAAACAAGCAACTTCAATAAAGTAAACATGCCATACCAGGCTGTGGACATCCATCTTCATCTGAATAGTCAGGACAGTCAAATCGACCATCACACCTTGCTAGTTGATGTACACAAGTTCCATCATTGCATGTCCACTCATCAGATCTACAAGCTACACAGAAACAAGGGGTAGTACATGCAGTGATTATCAAATGCAACATCAACATACCATATCTAATTTAGAGATTTATACTTCAGAATTTAGTTTACAAATATTTGGTTAGTAAAGTTTTAATACATTCAAATTCCCATAACACTCACCTAAATTTTACATGAAACTATTTTTATTTAGGGCAAAAATTCTTATTATTGAAAGTATTTTTTTCTCAGCCTATCCTCCTAACCATCAAACATATATGACGTAATGAACCATTAGAAAGAAGAAATAGTTACTATTGAATTTGGACAAACCAGAAAAAGGTTTTGTATTTATGTTGCAAAAACAACTTAACGTAACCTAACCTTCCTAGGCCTATTACATGCTATCTGAGGCCTAATATAGTACATACAAGTGCTATACTAGGCCTAGGAAAATTTGGTTTTTAGCTTTATTTTTTTTAGACTCTAAAAAGTGAATAGTACTAAATTCTACTATCTAATTGCCTTTTACATCAATCTATGTACGATGGTGCACATAGTTACAAAAAGTACTATCTAAAGAGGACGATGGGTTGTCTGTCTACTCCACACCTTTTACACGAGGAGAGGTTAGAGGCATTAAATATGCCAAAACTAGAAGACAGAAGAAAAAAAGGTGATATGATCACTACATACAAAATAGTAACAGGAATTGATAAAATCGACAGGGAAGATTTCCCGAGACCTGGAACTTTAAGAACAAGAGGTCATAGATATAAACTAGCTAAACACAGATGCCGAAGAAATATAAGAAAATTCACTTTCGCAAACAGAGTGGTAGACAGTTGGAACAAGTTAGGTGAGAAGGTGGTGGAGGCCAAGACCATCAGTAGTTTCAAAGCGTTATATGACAGAGTGCTGGGAAGACGGGACACCACGAGCGTAGCTCTCATCCTGTAACTACACTTAGGTAATTACACTTAGGTAATTACATCTAACAGAAGTGTAAAATTTACAGACCTCTAACGTCTCTGTGGCCCAGATGAGCCACAGACATTAGAAAGAATTTTTTCAGTGTCAGAGTAGTTAATTAATAAATGGAATGCACTAGGAAGTGATGTGGTGGCGGCTGACTCCATACACAGTTTCAAATGTAGATATGATAGAGCCCAGTAGGCTCAGGAATTTGTAAACTAGTTTATTAACAGTCGAGAGGCAGTTGAGCCAAAGCTCAACTCCCGCAAGCACAATTAGGGGAGTACAATTAGGGGAGTACATCCATCTTAATCAGTATAATCAAGAAAGTCGTAAATGACTATTGCAGGCACTCTGTTGTGGGCCACAAACAATGTAGGAAAAAGCACAAATGCATGCAACAATGCAACACAATTAACAAATTTATGTTGTCCATTACCTCTTGTACAATCATCTTCATCTGATAAATCAGGACAATCATAACGACCATCACACCGTGCTTGTTGAGGCACACATGAGCCTTCTCTACACGTCCACTCATTAGAACCACATCCTGCAAGGAAAAATAAAATACAATGCAATCTCAATTCAGCTTACTATATCACACCATCTCCAATTCATTGGATTGAGAGAGTCACTGCAAATGGAGAAGTCTTCAGGAAACATTTGTGTGAGTAATTCTTTTTTTTTTTTTTTTTTTTTTTTAAAGAGAAAATGTTTTTGCTATGCTTGTTTGTTTCTCTTAAATTTTCATTCATCTATGAAAATGGTAAAAAATATAACTGGAATGGTAATATGAGTTGCATTCATACCCTAATATGTCCCACATTCTATGGGCTAATTTCACTGAGGAAGATTTTAATTTCAATATATCATATGATGGACTATATTACAATGTATCATATGACAAACTTCAAGGGCAAATTGTCTATAAGGAGATTTTACAACAAAGTCTCAATCTCAGTAACACAGTTAGGATCATTCTCAGTTCACACTTTAAAATCCTAGGTACAAATCCCAGCTGAGACAGAATTGGTTGGGCTCCATTTCCTTTCACCTAATATTCTGTTCGCCTAGCCATAAATAGGTACCTGGGAATTAGTCAATTATTGTGGGATTGCATCCTGAAAAAGATGAGTAGTTCGACCTTACGGGACTTTGACAATTTACACACAAGCCTAACGTGTATGTTTTTACGCAATTTTTTTACTGAAGTGTATTTACAGGATAAGAGCTATGCTTGGGGTGCGTCGTCTTCCTGGTACTGTCATATGATGTTTAGAAACTACTGATGGTTTTGGCATCCATCACCTTCTCACTTAACTTGTTCCAACCATCTACCACTGCTTGACTATGTGAACTTTCCAATGTTTATTTGGCAGCTTTGTTCCCGTAGCCTAAATCAATGGCAGCAGAATGTCGGAAAAGTCAGAAATAGGAAAAACAGTGACAATAACACAGAATAAGACAGAAATGCAGAGAGAAAACCATTGGCCAAAAATTCATCAACCTTAACAAATGGCAATTTATTGTTGTAAACTGAAGTTGCTTGGTTTAATAGTAAGGAGAGCAGATTGTAGGTTCATGACAGTACTGTACTTTAGCAACTAAGCAATCAGTATACTGGGTATTAATAATTCCATGCAGAATGAATTTAATCTACCTAACTTGTATAATCATTACAGTTTTGTGACGAATGCCGTACCTCTTTGACAATCATCTTCATCTGATGCATCAGGACAATCATAACGACCATCACACCGTGCTTGTTGAGGTACACATGAGCCTTCTCTACACGTCCACTCATCAGAACCACATCCTGCAGAGAAAAATAGAGTACTGTACTTTTTCTGTAACCATTTATATATCATAATGTTTATCAAATCAGTATTTAAAAAAAACCAGCGTTGAATGTAATGAAACGCCATTTTCTGGGTAGAGCCAATGAGGCTCAATGGAGCTATTGGACAGATATTGGCTAATATTAATACGGGGCTTTAGTCATATGGAGCTGTCAAGCCTACCAGGAACCATTAGCGAGAACATGGTCCCCTCAGAGAGGCGCAGGGAGCAATGGCCTTTGAAACTCTCATGTATGAAAATATTCATGTCTCCCATTGACTGGGATTGAGACGAGAAACTTCCCCAAGGAAAAACAAGCAAACAAGCAACACCATCACACCACATGCAGCTCGTTTGCGTGGACCTGCTCCCCCCCCCCCCCCCGGGAAGGGGGGGGAGAGCAGGTCCCAGCCCATCGAGCTGGCAGCCGGACCGTCAGTTTGGAGGCTGAAAACAGAAACAAAAACCGCTGACTTTGGGGAGGGCAGGTGCCAGCGAGTTTCAGGGGCTCTACCCAGAAAATGGTGTTTCAATACATTCAATGCTGGTTTACTGTGGTGGGGAGCCCCATCAGCTCCCTGGAACTAACAACCCAAAGAGAAAATAAAAGGGACAATAAAAAAAGGAAAATAAAAGAACCTGGGAGGCAGCTGCATCGCACAACTTAAAACAAAGAGAAGACAACTGGCTGCAACCGTTGGCCCAAGGTGACAAGACCACTGAGGGCCCGGCACATTAACTAGATATCGGAGAGCCAGGACCCTGTTCAATCTCCAAAACCCCCGCGCCCGAATATCCTCTTAAGATATATTGTCAAACACAGCAGCCAAAGCCGCGAACTTACGAACATCGTGGGTACGAGGATAGACCGCAGGCTGGCTAGATTTGATAACGCTGTGGGCAACCTGAGAGACCCGAACCCTGGAACAGGGAACAAGAGAAACTGGGTCAACCCAAAGAGCATCCCCTGACGCAAAAGCCGAGGTACGCTGATAATGGGGCAAAGATGCAACCATGCTCAAAACGTGACGCACCTTCAGTTTGACCAACTAAGCATCAATAACTCGTGGACCCCTCCAGAAGCCCACCATCTCATTTTTCGCCAGAAAAAGAAGGAGATGGCTGTAAACGAACAAAACATCCACCCAGACCACAAGAGCAAAAGCCTTTGTGCCAGAGGAGAGTAGGAAGCTCTTCAACCCGACCCCCCAGAAGCCAAAGCCAACAAGAACAAAGCCTTATGGAAACAGTACTGAACCAAAGGGGTCACCACAAACAACCTGAAACCATGGATGGGCCAGGCCACCATGGGACCAGAAGGAGAACCCTTCTCCCAATAGTACTCGATCTGAGCTAGAATCCGAAGTAACAGCTGAACCAGGGGAAAACGGTAAAGCAAACCCTCACCCTGACCAGTCCTTCTGAAAAGCATCTACCGCTAAGGCCTTGCAAGCGGGGAAGGGCGCCACATATACAGAGAGATGCCTCGACCCCCGCGGATGCGAAGAGGTCCACCCCCGGGGGCCAGAATGTCCGGCAGAGCCAATGGAATGAGTAGGCGTCGACTGTCCATTCCGTGGACATGAGGGAATGAACCGCGACAAGATGTCTGCCAGGATGTTGGACATGCCCCAGTTATGAACTGCATGGAGAGCTAAGCCCCAAGAACTCAGCAGAAGAGCCACTCAAAGCAACCAGCCCCAATGAGCCATGGATCACCAAGACCCCCAGAGGTTCAGACAATGAACCACCTGAGCACAGTTCAAATGGAGCCGTATCATGGAGCCCCTAACGAGCCGAATTTTGATGCAGCGTAAGCCACACTGCTGCAAATTCCCGCACTGTGCTGTGAGCCCGATGGAAGGACAAACCCCACTGTCCTTGGGCGGCCTGGTTAATACTAGTCACAAAGCCCCAGCCTAGATCACATCCATGAACACATCAAGGCAAAGCTCCAGAAGGCGCCAAGGTACGGAACCCCAAAAAGCCCGAAGAGGAAGCCAGCGACAAAGCAGCCGACACAAGGGGCCCCGGGAAATGAACCCAGTGATCGCGAACACGGGGGGGAAGGGACAATCCCAAAGGAACCAGAACAGACACCACACCCAAATCAACCCAGCGGGTAAATGATCACATGGAAGATCAGACTTCCGCACAGCTGCTCGAGCAACCATCTAGTGACCCAGGGTTCCCCCATAGAAACAAACGACGAGAACCCGAGACGTAACTAGATGGGACTTTCTCTAGTTCACCAGAACCCGAACCCAGCAAGCTGGGAAAGAACCATACCCCTGGTGAGCAGACATGCGCACTGGCTGGGAGTCCAGACCAGGGAGGCCAAACATCAGTGCTATGTACTCTCATGAACCCAGTGTACCTTCTTGTATATATATATAGAATATAACATTATATTTATTTATGTTATCCTATGGCTAGTAGGGTGAACTGGAGAACAAGAAAGGGGGGTGAACAGGAGACGTGTCATCGTGTGTCTGTCCAGTGTTCTCTGTCTAGTCTGG